GGAACGGAAAGGAAAAGGAAAGGAAGGAAGGTAACGGAAAAGTAGGTACGGACGGACGGAACGGAACGTAAGTAAAGTAAAGTAAAGTAATAGTACGTAGTAGAGAGAGAGAGAGAGAGAGAGAGAGAGGAAGTAGTGATAGTACAAGCATAGTAGGTTATCGGCCCCTTCGAATCCTCCGCTCCCCCAACGGATCCGCCGAGGCCAAGCCATTCTCTCTCCCTCCATATTCTCCAAATTCCCCCTCCCTACAAATACCAGTGCAGCCCACGCTCCACTCCTGCTATCTCTCTTAGAAATAACAGTCCATTCTCTCTCTTATCTCCCTCCCTCTCTCTAAAATGCAGGCTGCCATTTCTACATCCATTCCTCCATCATTCACTGCGTTCAGATCGGATAATTCAGCTGCCCGATGCCATTTTGCGGCGGGGTTGAGGTTCTGTGGACTCCATCGCCATGTGCTCGTAGCTTCTTCCTATTCAGATTTAGGAGGCAGAGTGTTGAGTAGCTCTCCCTGGGTGAAGCCATTGAAACTAGGCAGCTTCGCAAAAGGATTTCGGCTTCACTTTCAGAGAGTGGTGCTTCAAAGAATGGGTTCGATTATGATCTCGTGATCATTGGAGCTGGAGTTGGCGGTCATGGCGCTGCTCTTCATGCTGTTGAGAAGGTAAGATAATTGATGAAGCAGAGAGAGAGAGAGGATGCTCTTTTTTATGGTTTTCGTTGTCTGGAGAGAGTTTGATCTATTAACAAAAATCAATAAAAGAACATTGAGTGTTATGTGCATTTCTTCAACACTGGATTTAATGCTGTTAATTTCCTTATTAATCACTTGCTTGATTTGTAATGCTTTAGTAATTGTATTGTGTTTATTGCAATCTCTTCAGAAATTAGAAATTTGAAGTCGATTCCTTTTTAAAATTTCAAAGTAATTCCATCAAAAAGGCTTTTCTTTGATGGGTTTGAAACTTCGAATATCAAACGTTAGTTTGTTTTTTTTAATTCCTTTATGATTTTCTCATGCTGTTTTGGTCCCAGGAGTTCCTTATGGTTCTTCTTTGTTTAACTGCAAATGAGGTTATTAGACTATTTAACAGCGCTTTCTAGGAGTCACTCAACTACTGCTTTGCTACAATTTGCTCTTCATAGCATATAAATTTTCAAACTCCATATTCTTTTTTCCTTAACATGAGAGGCCAACTTTTCTTCAGATGCAATTTTATGTTTGTTTACCTATGATCTTTGCAGTTATACATACAATGCAGACCATGATAAAAGAGATTTTATATGGAAAACCATTTGGTGCTTGTGCATGCCATGTGCAAGGATATACCCAATATTGGACGCTTTAGTCTTCTTTCTTTGAGCATACTAGTTGAACTTGTTTACATGCCTAGTAGTCTAAACACTATATTTTGATGACATGCTTTGGACTTTAGTATTCAGTAATACCTGAGTTTTTTGGAACCCTTTGCAGACCATAATTTTGTTACATATAGTCATCCAAAGCATCAGTACTTGGAAATACTGCATAATATCAGTTTCACTTCTTCTCTTTCTATTTTCTGGAAATTCGTATGGCCCTTCTTTTTCTTATATGGTTTGACTTTATGAGAAGCACATTTTTTTGTATATCTATAATTTCATGGTGTGCCTTGTTATCAGGGTCTAAAAACTGCAATCATTGAGGGGGATGTGGTTGGAGGAACTTGCGTAAACAGAGGATGTGTTCCATCTAAGGCTCTCCTTGCCGTTAGTGGTCGGATGCGTGACCTTCAAAGTGAACACCATTTGAAAGCCTTGGGTTTGCATGTTAGTGTTTATTACCTCCATTTTATACTTCCATATTTTATCGGGAAACACTTACATAAGGTGTCTATCTTGTACTATAGAAGTAAGGTACACCTTAAAAACCCTTAAGAAAAGGTTCTGTTCTGATGCTCAAAAACCCTTCAACTGATCAACGTAACCTCAAGATGCTTGGATATGGAAAATAAAAAGATTCTAAGTCCTAAAAGTGGTGCACCTTGTATCTTATTATCTGGATTGTCATTTTCAAGATCTTCAGGTATTTATAGATCTGTTTGATCTGCATTATTTTTGGAGCTTTAAATTTCATTAACTAAAGGTGGAAATAGATTTTCCAGCAATCGTAAATATTTTCAGTACTAGAATTCCATGATCCTACAAGATTTGGAAATGTGCCTTACTTTGATAGTTTAAGGTTGACACCTTATACAAACATCACCCTTGTTTATGAGGCCATGTCTCCTTGTATTGTCTTTTTCCAGTTGTACTTTTACAAGTTTCTTCGTGTTCATTAAAGTAGTACTGGCTTCTGTTTCCAAGATTTTGTTTGTAATTCTAGTTTTTACCTCATCTTAATCCTCTCTGACCTCTGGGGGCTTTGAATATTAGGTGCCAGCAGCTGGTTATGATAGACAGGGTGTTGCAGATCATGCAAATAACCTTGCCTCAAAAATTCGCAGCAATTTAACAAATTCAATGAAAGCTATGGGCGTAGACATCTTGACTGGTGTTGGCACCATTTTGGTGAGTGACTCTCAGTTGTAGACAAAGCATTTGGATCAGATGTTTCTAACAGTTCCCGTACGATTGTTACGATGATCATATGAAAATCGTGTCCAATGAGAAAACGTTTATTGTTATGAAAGACATCATGTTTTCCCTTTGGAATCAGAGAACATGCAACGTAGGTGTAAATATTTCAGCCATGGTGCCCATTATTGGTTATAGCAATAACTTATTTGTCAGCTATAGTTATCTCAAAATTACTTCAGTGTTATTTTGTTAGTCCAAGACTTACATTCTCTGTGGAAAATTTGCTTATGTCATGAATAGTTTATGAATCCAGGCTGTTATATTATAGTTTGTGTTTTATATTTCAGGATACACAAAAGGTGAAATATGGAAAAGTTGGTTTCCCAGACACTGTAATAACTGCAAAAGGCATAATCATTGCTACAGGTTCTGTTCCTTTTGTTCCAAATGGCATTGAAGTTGATGGTAAGCTCTAGTTTCCTGTCCCAAATCGTTGGTCTTTGTTTTCATTGAGGTTAGGTTAGACTGGTTGAATTTCGTTTAGACATGCAAGGAGTTTTAGTTGGTTCCACAATCTTGGAAGAGAAATGGTACATATTTAAATACTTTCTAAATAGTCTGATGTTGGCATCTCCTGCTAGATGCTAAGATGTATACTGGCTTTTATTTCTCATGACAGTTATTACCCCAGACGCTCTTCTTAGGTATAGATTAGAAATTCAGATACTTTTTTTATTAATAACTACTAGAAAAATACAAGAAGTAAAACTAGAGAAATTTAAACAGTTCAATGTGTTCAATTGAAAGATATGAGCAATAAAAGAATTGGTTTTGCTTGGCATCCTTATGTTGTGCAGTCTCTGCCTAGGGCAACCCACTCTCTGCCTAGGGCAACCCACTCAGCTGACCAAGGATCTCCATGACTTCTGTTTATAATTCTGATATGCCACTATGAAGAACAAAAAAGGAGGCATTTTCTTTTATTTCTGTGTTGTTACTGATTTGTTTCGTAATTGCCTGCAGGGAAGACCGTGTTTACTAGCGATCATGCTTTAAAGTTGGAGTGGGTTCCAGATTGGATAGCAATTGTAGGTAGTGGATATATTGGTCTTGAATTCAGTGATGTATATACGGCACTTGGAAGTGAGGTGGGCTTATTTATCTATCTTTGCTCTTTGCTGTTTATATTTAATAATATGGAATCTTTGGTTTCTTAAATCATCATCAATAGGAATTAAGCTCACTACTATGGAACAGGTCACTTTCATTGAAGCCTTGGATCAAATTATGCCTGGGTTTGACCCTGAGATAGGGAAGCTAGCACAAAGAGTCCTAATAAATCCAAGAAAAATTGATTTCCATACTGGTGTTTTTGCAAAGAAGGTATTGACTCTTCTGTGACAACATTTCATGATTTTGCGATGGAATCAAGCCTAAGAATACTGTAAGATATGTATTTTAAAATTTACTGTAGATTACTCCGGCGAAGGATGGGAAACCTGTCAGTATAGAGCTTATTGATGCGAAAACAAAGGAGCCAAAAGATACTTTAGAGGTAATCTTGCAAGTGATTTATACAAACTCTAGGTTATGAAAGTAGACTAGCTCTTTCTGTGATAGATTTATCCCACTTTTATGGTGAATCGTTGTTCAACTTTCACGAACAAGTTAGTTACTATGTTTCATTGTTGTATTACTGATAATGGTTTTGGAATAAAAAAATGCTACTTCGTACCTCTGGTTGGCCTGTTTTGTATATATATATATATATATATATATATATATATATAT